TACATAGTAGAAAATATTTGCCTAGCTCTGTTTTTCATTCTTTTTATATGCTGAGAAGTATTCCATCCATAGATCTGAGGTGTAGCCCTATAAGTCTGTAACTGAAAAAAACTTAAACAATTAATGGTCCTGCAGCACCTTAGAGACCAACAGAAAATGTAGGTGGTATCATGAGCTTTCTTGGGCACAACCCACTTCAGATTAATGGAGTAAGAGGTCCAGGGTGTAAATAAATAGCAGAAAGAAAGGAATGGGGAGGGAAAAGGAAGGGGGCAGAAAGGGGAAAAAATCTTGTCAATTAGTGTACATGCTAAATGAGGCTAATAGAGTGGCCTCTTATGTCATTATGTTGTGGAATGTAGCGGCCCATCCAGTTCAGGTCTTTGTTCAAATCTTGATTACAGGTGTTATATTTTAAATAGAAAGCAAGTCTCTAAGGTGCTTCTGGACCATTTGTTATCCCATCTATAGTGTATGTGGTATATTGTATTTTTGCATGGAAGTTGTGGGCTGCAGTCTGGACAAAATTGTCTGACTTGTAAACCTTGAGAGTAACTAAAATGAAAACTACTAGCCAAATACACAGAGAGGCGTTGGAATTACAATTCATTTACAAATTTAGTTCTCATTCTGATAGCCTACTCAATCGTGATAATAGCTGACTGGGACGTTATCAGCCTAACAGTCAATGAAGGTGTCTTCACCTCTTTGTGTAGGTTCTTGCGTTGGTACCCTTCCTATCTAATTGCTATCCTTTGATCCTTATCCGCTTCTTTTAACTATCCAGTCTTTAAGAGTAATGTCACCATTATACACTGGTTCTTGCTATGCCTCTCAATCATCTGATTATTCAGGGGGTAGATGAATTAGTCTGTACAGGATAAACTTAAAAAACAACAAATGGTCTGATAGCACTTTATAGATTAATAAAACATGTAGATGGTATTGTGAGCTTTTGTGGGCATAGCCCACTTCTTCAGATGACCAGAGTTTTGAGTTTAAGATGTGCAGACCCAAAATAAATAAGGGAGAAGAGGGAAGGAAAAAAAAATGGAAGGGGGCGGGAAATAAAGAGCAGAGAGTATGAAATTATCAAAGGGAAAACCAAATAGGCAGAACTGGTAATCAGTAAACACTTAGGGTATGTCTACACTAGCCTCCTAGTTCGATCTAGGGAGGCTAATGAGGGCGACCGAAATTGCAAATGAAGCGCGGGATTTAAATATCCCATGCTTCATTAGCATGTTCCCAGGCGGTCGCCATTTTAGAAATTACTAGCCCGAAGTAACTGACCGCGTCTACACGTGGCAGTGAAACGGGATTCCAAATTAAAGCCCTAAATCGAATTAGCTGGTAAACCTCATTGCAGGAGGAACAACAACTAATTCGAGTTAGGGCTTTAATTCAGAACACCGTTTCACTGCCGTGTATAGATGAGGGCAGTTACTTTGCGCTAGTCAATTTCTAAAATGGCGACTGGCCGGGAACAATCTAATGAAGTGCGGGATATTTAAATCCCGCGCTTCATTTGCAATTTCGGTCGCCCTCATTAGCCTCCCTAGATCGAACTAGGAGGCTAGTGTAGACATACCCTAAGTGTTTACTGATTACCAGTTCTGCCTATTTGGTTTTCCCTTTGATAATTTCATACTCTCTGCTCTTTATTTCCCGCCCCCTTCCATTTTTTTTTCCTTCCCTCTTCTCCCTTATTTATTTTGGGTCTGCACATCTTAAACTCAAAACTCTGGTCATCTGAAGAAGTGGGCTATGCCCACAAAAGCTCACAATACCATCTACATGTTTTATTAATCTATAAAGTGCTATCAGACCATTTGTTGTTTTTTAAGTTTATCCTGTACAGACTAATTCATCTACCCCCTGAATAATCAGATGATTGAGAGGCATAGCAAGAACCAGTGTATAATGGTGACATTCACAGAGAGAATGGTGGAGTGCTGCTTCTGGGCTGAGATGTGAACAGTGACTTGTGGATTGGCACTATATGGCAATCTTGGATGACTAGCAAAGGCAGCAAAACTTTTAGCTATACAAGGCTACCTTCTTGGATTTGTGTGCTGAGCTAACCCCAGCCCTCTAGTGCAGGAACACTAAAATGAGCTGTACTGACAGTGCAGAAGGAAGTGGCACTTTGGATTCTGGCAATACTGGATTGTTACCAGTCAGTGGGCAATAATTTTGGAGTTGGGGAAAATCCACTGTGGGGTTCATTGTCATGCAAGTGTGCCTGTCTCCTGCTACACAGGATCCTATCTCCCTCCCTGTTTGCAGTGTGTTGAACATAATGATTGGTTTTGCAGCAATAAGATTTCCAAACTGTGGTGAAGTGATAAATTTCATACATAACCATATTTTGGCACTTTCTACAGTGTACATCAACAGACAGGTTTATTTTTAAGGTAAAGTAGGTGCTTGTGAGTAGGTATCCTAGTATACAGTTTGCCACCATCAACGTTGGCTGGTAAGGGAAGGTTCATGAAACTGCCTTCTTAAAAATACAGGACAGTTCAGAAAGCTACAAGTTTGGGACATGCTCTCTTGACAGATGACCATTGGCAATGTTGAAATGCCAATAGTACAGGCAGTCCCCGAGTTATGCGGATCCGACTTATGTCGGATCCGCACTTACGAACGGGGCTTTCTCGCCCCGGAGCTCGCAGGCAGTGGGACCGCCCAGAGCGCAGCGGTCCCGCCACCTCGACCTCCGGGGCGAGAAAAGCTGCTCCGGGTGTCCCTGGTCTGCTGGAGACGGTCCCCAGCAGACCAGAGGCACTGGGAGCAAAGCGGCAGAGGCGGCGGAGTCCCGCGCCTCTGAGGCTTTGCCAGAGCAAAGCCTCAGAGGTGTGGGACCCCTCACCTCCCCGGCTTTGCTCCAGGTGTCCCTGGTCTGCTG